TGCCTCCGCTGCGCAGCAGGTCCCCGGGGCACAGCGGCAGCTGGAACTCCCAGGCCGCGCCGGGCGGCTGCGGCGGCGACGCCATGATGGAGACGGTGGCCGGGCCCGGGCACCGCTCGAAAGCGCGCGCCGCGCCAGGCAGCCAATGGGCACACACACCGCCTCACCACCGCAGCCAATGGCGCCAGGCGCCAGGCGCCCGCCCGCGCAAATCCCAACGGTTCCCTCGGTTGGCGCTGGCCAATCGGCGCCGTCTTGCGTCGCAAAGCAGGACAGCTTCCGCCCTGTTTCCCTCCCCCCACCTCTCCCTGAGCTTCCAGGAGGCTAGCGCGCTGCATTGCGGGAGGCAGCCAACGCAGCCGCGGGGGCCGATGGGAAAGGGGTCCGGTGGAGTGGGGTGCGCCCGGCCCGCCTGCGCGCGCATCCTTTTCCTCTGCTGCCGGGGCTGTACCCTAGCAAACTGCGCGCGCATCCCCCCGGCGGGAGGCGGAGCCGGCAGCAGCGTCGGCGCTATGGCGGCAATGCTGCGCGTGGCGAGGGCGCTCCTGTGGGGCCGCGGCCCCACGGCCGCCCGAGCCGTTAGCACTGGTGAGTAGGCGGAGCTGAGCGGGAGGCGGCCCCGGCCCGGAGCCCTGCGTCTTACGCCGTTTTTCTCTCCGCAGACGTGCCCCGCCGGCCGCGCGTGAGGGAGCCGCCCGCGCACGTGCAGGTGGACCGCTGGACGGAGAAGCGGGCCCTCTTCGGCGTCTACGACAATGTGGGAATCCTGGGTGAGCCGCGGCCGCCCGTGGGTAGCCGGGCTGAGCTGGGCGGGGGAGGGGTCGACCTGTGGCCGTGACAAGGTTGTAGCGGGTGCCTTGACCCCCTGTGGCTGTGACTGGGCTGTGCCAACGCTCCTGCTGGGACTTAAGAACTGGAGGTTCCTGGCTAGGTCATCTGGTCCTTTTGCTTGAGGCCAGTGCATTGCTACGTTTGGGGTCAGGAAGGAATGTTACCCCTGGTCAGACTGATTTGGACTGAAGGGGTCTTTGCCTTGCTCTGCAGCCAGGAGGAATAGCCTCTCCCTGGGATCTCTTGAGTGTATGTTGATAGCACTTCTTCTGTTACCTGTGAGGGTGTTACGTCTATGCCGTGCCAGGGATGACGGTCTTAGGTCAAGTTTAGATGATGGATTTGTAACGGATGTTTTGAACATCCCATGGGATTTATATGGGATGAACCTGCCTCAGGCAGGGTGGTAGATTAGATGACTGCTGGAGGTCCTCACTCCTCTGTGATTCTCTAAGATTCATTGAAATGAGGCATGAAATAGGAGCTATGTTGCCAGGAACAGCTGATGGACAGAATTGCAGGACAAGGGCTGGCTGGATTGGGGCAACATGAAGACCATCAAAAGAGAGAGGGCCGTGGACACCTGTGGAATGAAGACTTTAGAAGGAATTGGGTAGACTTTCAAGAGCCATGAATTCAGTCAACAGTCTCACTGCTGCCTGAATGGAAATGTATTATTTAATTTAAGATTGAAGCAAAAAGCCCTCCTTTATTGGTAAGGTGGTTAATATGCTGTATTCTATGTTATATAGAAAAACACAACAAGCTAGGCAAATGTAATCCAGAGACTCTGTTTCATTCATTATGGGGTCAGTAAAGTTAAATGTACATCTTTCTCTCTCTCTCTTTATTAACCTTAGTCTTTTTTTAACTCTAGCAAGAAATATTATCTGCAGGGCTCTGAAGTGGGTGCAACTTGACTAGAAGCAGTAAAGAGACCACAACTTTGCGATAGCTGGAGTAGTGGGACCCATCTAGTAGGACAGAGGGTTGTTAGGCCCTGTGGAATGAAGAGTTTAGAAGGAATCAAGCAAATTATAATGAGGTCTGAGGTCAATAGGCTCTGTCACTGCTGCCTGAATAGAAATGCTGCTACTGCTGCCAGGCAGTTGGCTTAAATTTTGGATGGACAAGGAATCAATGGGGAGTGCAAGTGTATCAGTGCACGGCCCCCCCCCCCCCTTTGGATCCACCCCTGATTTTGGTTAGTGGCATCTGGGACTAATGCCCCCTAGGACTCTCTTTCTCTCTCTCACTGCTTCTGTTTTTCTCCCACTTCTATTGGCTCTCAGGAAACTTCCAGGCTCATCCCAAGGACCTGATCACAGGCCCCAAGTGGCTACGAGGCTGGCGAGGGAACGAGCTGCAGAGATGCATCCGCAAAAAGAAGATGGTGGGTGATCGTATGTTTGACCAGGATTATAAAAATCTTGTGAAGAGAATCCGGTACCTGTACAGACGCTACAACCACACCAGATTGCGTCACTAGGAGCGGCCTTGCATTCCACCTTTGTCCTCGAGGCCGGGATGGCTTCTTGGGGAGAGCTGAGGAAATGTGTGGAAGATGTGTACAGATCAGGTAGTTTGTAAAGCCCTCATAATAATAAATTGAGTTTCTTTTCTACAAACATCTTGTAATTTTGTAGTTACACCTGTGCATTCACTTCCCCTAATTGATGCACCTTGGTCCCAACCCAGGGCCCCTTGCCTTTTTGTTTTTTGGTCCAGAACTCCTGTTTGCCTAACTTTGCTGATTCCTTTTGTTCTGTCTCCCGCTATGCTGTGCTCCTTCCAAAACTCATCAGAGTTTCAGACTCTCTTGATTTTTTTTTTTTTTTTTTTTTTTTTTCCCTTCATCCTCAGTGAGAACCCAGCAGTAAAAATAGTGTCTGGTAATTTGCTCCTTCCCTCCATCATGCTGTTCTGTAACAGGTCCCAAGTGAGAAGAGATCTTTAATTTAATCAGTCACCACATTTGATACTAATCATCACTTTTGTTTAAATAACTTTTTTTTTTTTGCTTTTCCATTTCACTCTACTCCCATTGCGTTCTTGGCGCTGTTTGTGAAGTTATAAGTTGCTAAAGATGTGTGCAGCATGGTTGGAGGGGGAGAGGGTTGTAGATGTGGTCAATGTGGTGGATGCCAGGCCTCCTTTGAAACATCAGCAAGTTGATCGACTCCCCTTAAACTTGCATCCAGTTCACTGAGTAGCACTACTATTAAAAACCTTTGGTATTGAGAATTCATTACAGAAACACTTGCCAGCAGAGCTGAACCCTCTGCAGTGGTGTGGGGAAAGCAGCATCTCTACCAAGCCGCTCCACATCCAGAGTTCGCCAAAGCAAGAGAATCATGCCAAAAGAAATGAGTTCCTTTCCCGTAGTGGTGGGGACACCTTTCAATAGGACATGTCAGGATTGGAAATTGGAGCAGCTGTTAGGACTCAGTCATAGCTGGTTTCCTGGCAAGCACCATTGGAACTTCTGTTTTGAACCAGTAGGTAGCAAAGTCTAAGAAGCCCTCTGCTCCGGTTGTATTCTAAAAAATAGTGGGATGCAGTGATACCTCAGAACCAGGAGCAGGGGACCTGGCTGAGTCATTTATCTCAGCAAAGAAAGGAAGGACCTTTATGCTGATGGTTGTATATTACAAGAGAAAATCCTGGCCACAAGGGCAGCTCTGGGACTGGAAAATTCAAACTCTGCTTCTGGCTGCAGGGGAAAATTTTCAGAGCGGCAGAAGAGAGTTGTATTGTGGGTGTGGAACAACTACCTACGATGGAAGAACTTTAGTCCCAGCAGTCTAGAGGAAGACCACTAACCTGTGAGTCCTTTTCACCATGAAGCAAGTGATGGCAGGTATTTAGAAGCTGGCAATACCTGATTGCTATCAAAGCTTGGTAAATCAGATGGCACTGAGCAACTCGACTGCTATGTTGCCATGGTATTGTGTGTGTGCTGAAGGGACTTCTTCCACCCTCCCTGAGGCTTTTTGGGGACCCTACCCCCCCATGAGCTTAGGGAACCATAGAAAATGAGGGTTGGAAGGGACCCATGCTCAAAGCAGAAGCGGGACCCTACCCAACTATCATTCCAGCCAAGGCTTTGTCTATTTGGGTCTTAAAAGGCCTCCAAGGGTGGCGATTCTACAATCTCTCTGGCTAATGTGTTCCAGTGCTTTACTACCCTCCTAGTGAAAATGTTTTTTCCTAATATCTAACCTAAACTTCCCTTGCTGCAACTTGAGACCTTTGCTCCATGTTCTGTCATCTACCAGTGAAAACAATCTAGCTCCATCCTCTTTGTAGCCAGTCTTAAAGCAGATGAAGGCTGCTATTAAATCTCCTCAGTCTTCTCTTCAGACTAAATAAGACCAGTTCCCTCAGCCTGTCCTCAGAAGTCATGTGCTCTAGCCCCCTAACCATTTTCATTGCCCTTCTCTGGACCCTTTCCAATTTGTTTGTATCCTTTCTGTAGTGGGGAGGGGCCAAAACAACACTAGAACAGTTGTGGCCTCACGTGTGCTGAGTAGAAGGGAATAATCAATTCCCTCGCTCTGCTGGTAACACTTCTACTAATGCATGAGGTTTCTTTTGGTCCAGTTCTCCAATTTGTCTAGGTCTTTTAATCCTAATCCCAGCCTCCAGTATATCTACTAATCCCCTGCCCCCCACCTCTAGCTTGCTGTCATCTGCAAACTTGCTGAGAGTGCACTCCAGACTGGGATCATATTCCAGACTGAGAGTGAAGATATTGAACAAAACCGTAGGCCATGAGACAGCCCCATTACACCATTCGTGACAGGGCTGCAGTCCTGCAAGCTATCCCACCAAGTCTCTGTTGTTCCAATCACGTCATAGTGCCATGACACTGTGAGGACATCCAAGTCTTCCTCATTTCCCAGGCTCTGTGCATTTGTGTGCGGACACCTGAAGTGACTAGCTGATTACTCTACTTTTTCAGGAAGAAAGAGAAGGCCTTCCCTGTTGTCCCCTCCTGCTTGTTTCCTTCAGGTCACTTGATTCCTGTAGGTCACCTGTTTCCCCACATACAGCAAAGCTTTGGTCTCCATTCTCCCCGAACCTAGTTTTAAAGCCCTCCTCAGTAGGTTAGTGAGCCTGTCTGCAAAGATGCTTGTCCATCTCTTCATCAGGTCTGGAGCCTGTTTCTGCCTATCAATCCTTCTTGGAACAACATCTCATGGGTCAAAGAAATGAAATCCCTGCTGGATGAGGGGGTAAAAAGCCCATTGGCCAAGTTTACAGATTACAACAAGATATGGGGTTGTGCAGACACACCCGCAGATACAAGCAGTCCTAGATAGGCTGGCATGTTGGGCAGAATGGAACCAGATGAGGTTCAACGTAGACAAATGCAAAGTGCTGCATCTGGGAAGGAAGAACCCCCAGCACACCTATAGGCTGGGCATTGCTAACCTAACCAGCACTACAAATGAAAGGGATCTGGAGGTAACAATAGACACCAGCATGAATATGAGCCAGCAATGTGATGCAGTAGCCACTAGGGCCACTCTGGCATGTGTCAATCAGTGCATCTCCACCAAAACCAAAGAAGTGATTCTCCTGCTTTACTCAACATTGGTGTGGCCATAGCTGAAGTATTGCATCCAGTTCTGGGCACTGCACTTCAACAAGGATGTGCTAAAGTTTGACAGGGTTCAGAGAAGGGCCACCCATATGATCAGGCCATAGGAGGAGAGGCTGAGGGAACAACTGTTCACCAGGGCACCCTGGGGGAAAACTAGAAACAGCAGCCACAAACTCCTGGAAGATAGTTTCAGGCTGAACATTAAGAAAAACTTCTTCACAACTAGGATGTCTAGACTATGGAACAAGCTCCCCCAAGAGGTGGTGCAATTATCTACCCTAGAGGTATTCAGGATAAGACTGGACAGCTACCTGGCTGGGGTCATGCAACCCCAGATGTTTTTCCTGCTCATGCAGGGAGCTCAACCCGATGATCCTTTGGGGTCCCTTCCAGCCCTATGATTCAATGATACCATCCGTGCAGCCACACATTAACTGGCAGAATGCTTCTGCTCCTACCCAAGCCGTTTCCCTTGACTAGAAGGATAGAGAACACCACCTGAGCCCCTGTCCCCTTCACCCTTGCACCCAGAGCCCTGTAGCCAATTTGATCTGCTCAGGGGGACCCCTGGCAGTATCATTAGTGCCCACGTAGATGAGCAGCATGAGGTAGTAGTCAGAGGGCCAGATGAGTCTCAGTAATTCTTCCATGAAATCTCAGGTCTGGGCTGTAGGCAAGCAGTGGGCTTCCCAAGAACAGGGGTCAAGCTGGCAGTTGGATGCCTCCATCCCCTGCAGAAAGGGAGTCTCCAGCAACCATCACCACCTGTTGCTACCTCTTGGTGGCAGTGATCTTAATTCTCCCAACCTTGGGGATACCTGGGCTGGCTTCTTCTACCAATGGAATGTGCTCCTCCTCCCCTGTTGCTAAGGCTCCATATCTGTTTTCCAGGAAAGCTGCTGCAGGTGGAGATGAAGACTTCTGCTTGCTGCCAACAGTCACAAACTTCCTCCTTTCTGGGAGTCCATTTACTCCTCCTTCTCTAGCACTGCCTCTGACAGTCCAGGTATCCTTCAGCCAGGTTTTGAATCAATCAAGTCCTTACGGTGGAGGATGGTTTGAAGCCTTGCCACCTCCTCCTATGGCTTTCTCGTCTGCTTCTTGAGGGATACCACCAGGAGGCACAGCTGGCATCGCAGGCAGTCCCCCACCCCCCCGGCTGTCACTGTAAAGAACCTGCAAGCTGGCATCTCCACAATGTCAAACCAGGACCTGGGTGGAAGCTTGGTAGCACCAAGTATTCTCCTTCCTGGTAGGCATCAGAGTACATCAGTACATTTTTTTTTCTTTTATACCAGGTATTGTGGCCCACAGCAGGAGATATAACAGCTGTCCTTGTATTTTATGCAAGTTCCTTTCAGTTTCAAAGGTGTGGAACAAGGTCAGTTCCTAGGATATACATGGAGCTAGAAGTGATACTGGCCACTGACACTGGGGGTTCTGCAGCTGACCCCCTTGCCTGGGAGGCACCAAGAGTGGGGGTGAATATCTGCAGAGTAGTAGTGTGTAGACAGAGCAACAGACAGGCATGAGCTGGACCAAAAAGCATTTAATTTATCATCTTCTACATCACACCCTGTCACTGTGAATATGGAGCAGTCCAGGTCAGAGGTGATCCATATGCCTAGCTCAACAAAGTGGCAAAGCAGTAGTGGACCAATCAGCTAAAACAAGCTGGGGTTTTGGGTAAAGTATTCTGAGTACATTTGAAACTGGTGTGCCCTCACCCATGTGCAAGGCTAAAGTTGTCACTGACTGGGTAAAGCTAACTCAGGTTTGGGTGCATATGTTTTGTCTGTAGTTTTTGTATGCCGGCTACTTCTCATAATGTAGACATTTGATTGTACCATATCCATGGAAGCACGTGGTATGGGGAGGAGCAGAGAAAGGAGGAGTCACCTGTCAAGTGTATTCAGGTGACCTGGCTTTGTCTTTGGGCAAACTAGTATTGCTACAGGAAACAAGTGCATCGGGGGCTCCCCTATGCCTTCTGAAGATGCATCTTGAAAATCCTCTCTTCTGCTGGAGACTAGGAGCATAGAACTTGGCCTTCCTGGGGTCGGCATCCAGAGCAGGAGCCTGTAGGATAGCAGGGACAGACAAGCTTCTAGCATTTTTTGTTATAATCATTTTAAATTGAATAGTATGACTGTTGGGAGAGAACAGGAGATTGAGTGGGATTTGGGGATGGCCACAGCTAGGCTGCCCCCAGTGGGAAAAGAGGCTTGGAAGGAATGTTATAAGACAGGACTCCCCTGGGTAAGGGCAGTGTGGGAGTGGATGGGAGGGAGTAGGGGAAGGACATTGCTGTTTTGAAGCCAGGAAGTGAATGAGGGCTGGGAAGTTGGGAAATGAGGCTGGGTTGGATGGTGGGAGGGGTAAGAAAATGTCTTTGGAGGCACTTGATGTTTCCCTGTTCTGTCACAACAGGTGGAGAGCCTGATATATTCCTATTTAATTCAAGGTTGATGGTTAACAGTATTTTCTCACATACAGCATGCTCCTAAATACGATACGCAGCTCATTTTGAAAGGCAGAATGAAGAAAAAAAGATCTTTCCCTGCTTCTGCACTGGGAGCCTCTGCAGGATGGGATGAATGGGTGGAAAGGGAAGTGTCCACAGACAGCAGCCAGGGAGCCCCACTTGCAGCATGGGGGCACTACTTTTGCTCCTGCCCTAAAGAAACTGTTACACTATTTCCTTGCATATGATGTATGCATCAGTTTCCAGCAGCAGACTGCTACCATTTTTCTAGGCAGAATCACCCATATTTGGCAAGACTTGGGAACCTCCAGTACAGTTGCAGAATCAGAGTTGGGGGTGGAGAAGCCTGGTCTTGTCCTATTTATACCAACTGGATTAAATTGCTTGTTGCCTTGGTAAACAATCTCCAGATCAATGTCAGAAATTGTAGTGTTGATCTTCCTAGAGTTTTCAGCACTCTTTGCAGTTGACCATGAGATGCTGATAGCATGCTTATAGGACCGGGTGAGTATTTGTGGGACCACTCTTAACTGGCTCCACTCCTTCCTAGCAGGATGGTTCCAGAGTGTGGTGATGGCTGAGTGCTCACCCTGGCCTCAGCCTTTCCTGTGAGTTTTCCAGGGTTCCATCTTATCTCCTATTTGTGTAGCTGAGGCCATTGGATGAGATTGTACTGAAATCTCAAGTACTGACGACATCCACTCTCACTGTCGTCTTTTTCACATCACCTAGACCCAGCAGTCTTGATTCTTACCTAGTGCCTGCTGCCAGGGGTGTGTACTATAAAGCCATGGTCCCCACTTTGCCCAAGCAGGCTGTGGGGAGGACCAGATGATCCTGTCACTACCCACCTCCCTAATGTCCCTCTATCTTGCCCCCCATGTCTTGAAGTATATATTAATTATTGGGCGGTGGATAGAGGTTGAGTCATGATTCTACCAGTCCACCCAGATGGTTTTTCTTCGTGGGACTCTTCCTCCCTTTCCACCCCACCCTTACCATGTCCTGATGGATGGTATGTGTCAGAGTCTTGATCCTGCGTCAACTCACTGAGCTGCTCATTCTCAATCACTGGCTTACAGAGGAAAAGTGTCCTGAAGTTTGAATCTGTTCAGTCAGGCTCTACCGGGCCATGACTTGGATCCATTCTTTACAGACTTGAGTCAATCACCGTATGTCAGTTTGTTTAAGGGTCTATACATCAGTTAACTTGGCTTGATTCCCCTCTAGTGTCTGGGTCCAATCTTTTAGATCAGTTCATTTAGTGTCCATAGAACAATCAAATCAATCCTTCCCTGGTGCATGGGTCAATTAATTTGGATCAGCTATTTTAAAGTTCATGGAATAATCAACTTAAATACATTCCTCACCATTGCATGAATCATCCAGTTTAGATCAGTAGCTTTAAGGTCCAGAAAATAACTTAAATTGGTCCCTCTCCCTTACAGGAATTCCTACCTTGACCACAACTCCTTAGGGTCCAAGTCACTGTTTTCACAGGGAAAGGTTTTCTGGGTTTTTTTTTTTGGGGCGGGGGAAGGAGGAGGACACAGCTCCAAAACAAACAAACAAACAAGGCTAAAGATGGAAATCAAGTTTCTCGGACCTTTTCCCCTGCCGCACTCTTTTCCCCTTGCACCTGCCAACAACTGAGGACTGGACGTAGATAAAGCAATGGAAGCTGAACCAGAAGAGGACAAAGATGTGATGGTGGTTGGCAGTCCTCATGACTTGGGGCGGGGGCATAAGGAAACCTGTCGCTGATGGAGATCAGCCTCCCTTTGTCACTCAGATTTGCAGTCTTGGGTTACTTCTGGATCCTCTGTTGCACCTGGTTGTTCAGATGGTGAGGCTGGGTAGGACTGCCTTTCATCAGCTCTGCCTGGGGAGAAAGGTGTGTCCCTTTCCTTTAGTTTCACCCCTTGCCACCATCATTCATGCTTTAGTAATCTTGAGGGTAAACTACTGCAGTGTGCTTTGAGGGGCTGTCCCTGATAACTGTCTTGATGCTGTAGCTCATGCAGAACATAGTGGCCTGTCTTATGACAAAACTGTGTTTTACTACTCTCCCAGGTAGATAATTTTTACTAATATTTAACCTAAATTTCCTTTGCTGTAACTTGAGATGGTAGCTCCTTGTTCTGTCATCTGCCACCACTGAGAACTGCCTAGCTCTATCCTCTTTCGAACCCCCCTCAGGTAGTTGAAGACTGCTATTAAGTCTCCTCTTCTCTAGACTAAATAAGCCCAGTTCCCTGTCTTTCCTTGTAAGCCATGTCTCCCAGCCCCCTCACCGTTTTTGTCACCCTCTGCTGGACTCTCCAATTTGTTCACATCCTTTTTTGTAGCGGGGGCCCAAAACTGAACACAGTACTCCAGATGTGGTCTCACCAGTACTGAATAGAAGGGAATAATCACTTCCCTTGACCTACTGGCAACACCTACCAGTGCAGCCCAGAATGCTGTTAGTCTTCTTGGCAACAAGGGCACACTGCTGACTCATATTCAGCTTATTGCCTAATGAAACCACTAAGTCCTTTTCTGCAGAGCTGCTGCCCAGCCAGTCGGCCCCCGGATTGTTCCAACCTAAGTGCAGGACTTTGCACTTGTCCTTGCTGAACCTCATGAGATTCCTTTTGGCCTAATCCTCCAATTTGTCCAGGTCCCTCTGAATCCTAGCCCTACCTGCCAGTGTACCTATTATTCCCCACAGCTTGGTGTCATCTGCAAACTAGCTGAAGGTGCACTCTATACCATCCTCCATGTCTCTGATGAAGAAATTGAACAAAACCCAGGACCGATCCTTGGGGCACTCCACTTGGTACCAGCTGCCAACTAGACATCGAGCCATTTATTACTACTTTCTGAGCCCAGTGCTCCAGCCAGTTTTTTATCCACCTTACAGTCCATTCATCCAGCATACTCCCTTAGCTTGCCTGCGAGAGAGTTGTGGGAGACCATATCAAAAGCCTTGCTAAAATCAAGGTACAACACATCCCCACATCCATAGAGCTAGCCACCTCGTCATAGAAGGCAATCAGATTTATCAGGCATGACTTCCCCTTGGTGAATCCATGCTGACTGTTCCTAATAACCCATTTCTCATCAAAGTGCTTACAAATGGATTCCTTGAGGATCTGCTCCATTTTTCCAGGGACTGAGGTGAGGCTGACTAATCTGTAGTTCCCTGGGTGGTCCTCCTTCCCTTTTTAAAATATGGGCACTATGTTTGCCCTTTTCCAATCATCCAAGACCTCTCCTGATTGCAGTGAGCTTTCAAAAATGATGGCCAATGGCTCTGCAATCACATCAGCCCTCAGCACCCTTGGGTGCATCCAGTGGTAACATGTAGGGGGAGCACCGGGGTGCCCTCCCTGGAAGCATTGGCCTGGGAGTGGAGCGCTGTTGCGCTCGCAGAAGCAGCCACAGCCACTTCTGGAAGTGGCTGCAATGGACAGTTGGAGTGATTGTCTGCCTCACGATCATTTGTGGGGGACCCTTGCTGGTTAGTGAGATTGGTGTGGGATAGTTGGCTGCACCAAGTTGTCCCCACTCTCAAATCTTTCTGGATCACCTGTGCACTGCTGTATTGGCCTCTCGGCAGATGTCGGGGTGATTGAAGTCCCCCATTAAAACCAGGGCCTGTGA